AACCACAACCATTTCAGGAGTCAGGAGCTGGGTCTGTTTGACCATGGCCAAAGTAACTCAGTTTTGCTCTGCCAATGCCAGCTTCCTCACCTCAGTATTTACAGGGAACCAGACAGCCAAACATCAGCCAGCAGTGGGGATGGAGCTCCTCCACTCGTTATCCTGCAAGCTGTATGGACTGATTTATCATTTGTAAAACATCCTGAATAGCAGCCAGGCCTGTGCTTGACGTTCGTGGAGTATAGGAGACACAAGACACATGCTCAAGTGACTGAACCGAGACTGGAAATACGCTGAAGACTTGAACTGCTTCTGGCAGCCCTAGGAGATGTAAAAGCATCCAGTAAAGTCAGAGGGGGAGCTGTCCTTGTCCCCAGGGTACGGAAGCAGCAGATTTAAGTAGCTATATGAAGTCTCGGAGCAAGACGAAGCCCAGGAGCTGAGGAACCAGCCTTGGGGAGGAGAAGAACACCTGGAACGGTCAGTCCTCAAAGAGGATCACAGAGCAAGAGCCTAATTTTGAGGAACACCCAAATCGCACTTGGACATCTTGCGGAAAGCTGTGCTGCTCACGTTCATATGCAGGTAGCTGCTATCCAGCAGGAAAAAAAATTAGGACTGACGTACACAGATTGTGCCACCACTAGTAAGGTGAGATCCTGGGGATACCCCAGGCCATGATGAATCTTCTATGTCAGGATGTTCATGCGTGCTCACATGGATTTTACAACAAAAAGCAACCATGAAACAGTTCAGTACGACACCAGCATCTTACAGGATTGATGACAGAGCGACACAACTACAGGTTGTTAAAACAATTATCTTGGTGAGCAAACAGATTTTATTCCAGACTACCTAAAACCTAAAGGAATTCTCGTCCTTTCCTGAGACACCCTACGGACTGACCATCAGGTCTTTGACTCCATGCCTGCAGTTTCCTTTTTTTGTTTCACTGCCTTCATTAAGGTAAAGCAGTCATACACTATTTTAGATTATTAAATATTTAATTCCACAGTGAGACAGAAGAAACCAGCAGATGGTCACTGTGCAGCAGGCCCTTGCCTCTTCTTTTGGTGGGGTAGAAGGGTTTAAGGAAGAATCATGAAAACCCATAAGCAACCATCCCTCCATTTAGAGGGGCGAGGTAGGAAATTATAAGGGAGCTATTAGTTTCTCCTACTGCAGGGAGACATTGAAACATCAGAGATCACATCAACTACCTGCAGAAGCGCATCAGAGACGCCTGTCAGTTGGTTCTTCCAACCCAGGACTATCTCGATTAGCTACATCTGAACCCATTTGATATATCCACCAGTACTGAGGTATTCTGAGAAGCAGCAAAAAGAGCTACACTCATCTAGTGTAGATCCCTTAATCAAACTTTTCATTGCTCCAGTATATCTTAATCTAGTGTGAAATATGTCTTAAGACGTACAAGCCACAAGAAACCCAGTCTTCTCCTCAGCCAACCCAAGCTGACTAGTGATCTTCAGCTGATTCACGTGGCAGACTGGAAGCTGGTGCTGATGGGAGGTAACGTGCAACTTCACTCCCTTGTCAGAAAGCCTTTAAACATTGATGCTGATGGAGCACGTGGCACAGGAAGCCACAGCGGAGCTGCAAAAGGAAGAGGCAGCTATCACACAACTGTGCTGCTTCCTCCGTTCACGCGGAGACATCTCACACGGAAGCTCACCCCAGGAATTAACTTCAGACAAAGCCCTGAATTACTGGGCTATTTGCTACTCTGTTGACCTACACCATGGCCCATAGCAAAAAAAAAAAAAAAAAAAAAAGACCAATTTTGTTAGTTTTTGATGATGGCAACAAGTGATGATGGCGGGTAACTGATAGCAACATACATCCTTCAGTCTTCAAAGGGTCCTAAATTAACTGAATTGTTCTAAAATTTGGGAGCAAAAGCCCCGCAAAAGTGTTGTGTAATATACTGCAGGACAAAGTCAGCATTACAGAGCTAGTTGCAAATTTCTCTCCAAAAGTAGCACCTGTCCTACTGGCGTGATCCAGCACTTCACACCTCCTTAACAACACTGGTTAGGCTTCTGCAGGGGTTTTGATGCACAAAACCTTTAAGCTCCTGAGTTTGGAGGTTGTGCTTCTTGATCTGGTACATTGCAAACAAGTCACAACCAAGTTTTCTGCAGTCTTTAGCACCCAAGACCATTCTCTAGGAAGGCCGACTGCCACAGAACACGTTCCTGCTGGCAAGTCCCAACTTCAAGTGGACACATCCAGTCACACACTAGAGATGAAACATCTTTCTCGACACACACAAAGGTATCCTACAAGAAGGTTCCTACTTCATCCATGTCCAAGTAGGCTGGTCTCTTCCAACCTAACTCTTCCTATGATTAGTATCCAAGAGTAACATACCTTTTAAAATGTTTATTCTGAATATCCAGGAAAAAGGAAATCACCACTAAAATTCTTCTCATTAGGATAAACCCCATTTTTCTCCAAATGCTGCAATGAACGATAATTTTGACTTCTCAGAGACACTGCTCACTGAGACCATCTGGGTGTACATCCAGCTGTGCGCAGCAGTTGCACTAACAAGAGGACCACGCTGCTACTGCAGCGTTACAGCAATGCTTTTACTAGTCTTACTTTTAGGCTAACGGTGGGAGGTTCACAGTCAGTCACGTTATTTGGCAAGATTAATTGGCTAATTTATTGAACAGCACGTCACAGGCAACACTACTGTTGTTCTCCTCTGAGTCATACACACCATGGGTTTGGACACTTTTAGTCTTCACTTCGTGAGTCCACGATAATTTCAAGTAACCAGTCCCGCTTACTGGAAGTTCAAGGCTGTCTGAGCAGCTGAAGTTTTTAAGCAAGGACCATTAAGGGGAGGCTGGCATTAACAACATCTCCGAGAACAGACCCATCTACTTCCCCAGAGTCGGCACTTAATTAGCACCAAACTGTTTTTACAGACAGACGGTCTTCCCCTAATTCTCAGCGTGGCGTGCAGACACCAAGTGAAGGCTCCCTGGTCCTGGCAGTCTGACTCCACCAAAATGTATTTTGTTCACTTCCAAGTTTCATGGAGAGACCAGAGCTGTGGCTCACATCCTCCAGCCGAGCTCCTAGCCTATTCCCAGTTGTTTTAGCAAAACTGTAGCACAAGAGCTTCTAATGGCATTCAGCAGATTATCGGAGCTGGGGCTGCAATGCCCGTGGGACCACACAGAGAGAGAAATAAAACGTCATGTTGTTCATGAGGCTTCTCAACAGTCTCTTGACAAGTACTGGCAAAAAGGCTTGAGATGACAGTCGGCCCCCACCTAGAATGAAGGAAAGAGATGTCTCGAAGGCAAGATCTCCACATCTGATGGCAGCACGCTCAGAAATACTTCCACTAGTGTGCACAGCATTAGACTGGGTAGAAATGCCCTGTGTGGGTAAGTGTTGCCGGATGAAAAGTTTAAATTCATTAGGAACAGGAGAAAAGCCACTAAAAATACTTTATCTAACCAAAATAAAGCCAAGCCCCCAACATTTGATCAGTTTTAAAATTCCCCAATAACATTTTTAAAGTGGCAGCAAGCCAACAGGTATAGAAAACGCGGATTGGGATGGCTGGGTTATCACAGAGATGGCAAGCATCAACAGAATTCAAGTAGGGAGCGAGGAGCAGAATTAAGTGTCTTACTTCTGTGAATCTACATTTTATTTATTTACTACACAGGCTTCAGCACAAATGCCCAAAGTCTCAAAAGCACAGGTAACGAACTAAGTGACGACATTAACCTATAAGGAGCTTTGTGCACAATACCAGATGCTACCACTGGAACACAAAATACACAGAAAATAGCACCTTTTGTCAGCAGACAAGTCCTGTTTAAAAAAACTAACAATATTTTAGTGTTTCCAGTAGTGCCAACTTACTTGCCTCTCACATCCCAGATTTTACATCCTGTAAGGAGCAAAGAAGCCACAAAACACAGAGTGCAATAGCACCCAATCTCCAGAGGATGTGCTACATAAAATTAAGGAAACTGATTAGAAAAATTAATTGAAGGAGCAAAAAGGAAAAATGCAGGACCACTGCTTGGGTACCGCATATTACGAGCTTAGAGTAGATATATCTCCCACTGCGTTGAAATTAGTATTTTGAAGCACATCCTCTGCAAGTTGAAGCTAGGTCCATCCAGCAAAAACAGAAAAAAAAATCAGAAGAAAGTGTAAAAAATTTACAGTACTGTAGGAAACTTGCCAAAGCCCACGGTCAATACATGATCATGGCACAGAAGGGGCAGAGAAGATCTTTGCTTCAGAGAGACTTCCTCTTGCAGTGGGTAATCAAGGCTGTGGAAATCCCTGGCATGGGAAACAGCACATGCTAAAAGTCTATATAGGTTGAAAATGCAACCATAAATTCAGGGAAGAAAAAGAAAAAAAAAAAAAAAATCTATTAGACACAAGCTCAAGCCCTATATTAGGTAAATTTGAGAGCTTGCCAGAAAACATTAAAAAAATAATAAAAACCACCTTTGGCCAATCCTGTGATGTTCTTCTCATATTTGCTGTAGACTACTGTCACACAGAGCATACTGAGCTCATGGGCGACACTCTTACGATTCAGTAAATATCAACGAAAAGAGTATTTCAGATTTTTATTAGAAAAATTCTTACACAAGTTCCCAGATGTTAAGACTTTGTCACCTTTTTGAAATCTGTCATTCTATACACAAATAACTTTCCCTCCAGGCTCCTGTGTTTTACACACACACTTATATGGGTATTTCCTGTATCAGTCAATCCTCACTTAACTTGAGTTTCTAGGTCCACATAATTACCCAGTATCATCACAATGTTATTCTGACCAAATCTCTTCCAAATCTTGTGTGAGGCTAAAAGAATTTGCTCAGATCAGTAAGTTCAAGTCAGAGTTACACATCAAAAAGGATGGCAATGTTTGATCTAATAAAGAAATCACAAACTTTCTATAAGCTTAAGGTAGGTTTACTCACCCGCACTTCCAAGTTGTTTATAAAACCTGTATTCTAAATGAAGCTGTGGTGCACGTGATTTTATTGGTTCCTAAAACAGAAAAAAAGTTCTGGTTAAAATCAGTATGGCTGAAAAAAGTTCTATCCTATACTTCAAGATTTGTGACTGCACACAATGCTTCAAGTTTCAAGATAAAACATCCTAGACTGAAAGTCTAACAACAGACTTCATAGAACCATAGAATCATTCAGGTTGGAAAAGACCTCTAAGATCATCAAGTTCAACCATCAACCCAACACCACCGTGCCTGCTAAACGTAAAAGTACCACATCTACATGTTTTTTGAACACCTCCAGGGATGGGGACTCCACCACTGCCCTGGGCAGCCTGTTCCTATGTCTGGCCGCTCTTTCAGAAAAGAAACTTTTCCTAATATAGAATCTAAACCTCCCCTGATGCAACTTCAGGCCATTGCCTCTCGTCCCATCGCTAGTTACTTGGGAGAAGAGACCAACACCCACCTCACTACAACCTCCTGTCAGGTAGTTGTAGAGAGCAATAAGGTCTCCTCTCAGCCTTCTCTTCTCCAGACTAAACAACCCCAGCTCCCTCAGCTGCTCCTCATCAGACTTGTGCTCTAGACCCCTCACCAGCCTCCTTGCCCTTGATGCCGTTGGCCGCCTTGGCCACCTGGGCACACTGCTGGCTCCTGTTCAGCTGGCTGTTGACCAACACCCCCAGGTCCTTTTCTGCTGGGCAGCTTTCCAGCCACTCCTCCCCAAGCCTGTGGCATCGCATGGGGTTGTTGTGACCAAAGTGCAGGACCCAGCACTTGGCCTTGTTGAAACTCATACGATTGGCCTTGGCCCACTGATCCAACCTCTCCAGATCCCTCTGCAGAGCCTTCCATCATCAGACCTTCATCATTAGACATCATTTAAATAAGTAGAGAACAAAAAGCAGTAAGACTTGCAATATGCACTCTAGAGGGGAAATAACTTCCTAAAGTAAATACAGAGCTCATTCATGTCAGTAAAATTGAAGAATTGTTCAACAAAGTTCCTGGGCCTTGAAGAATGACCCTGGACATCGGCAGGAAGAAAGTCAACACCGCAGAAGACCAAGTCCCAAGTTCAGTTTGTGGACTGTGCCTGCCCACAGTATTTTTGCTGGTCACTAGCTTGTATTTTTGAAAAATGTTCCGTCATAGATCTGTGTTTTAAGTCAGACCACAGCTTTATAAGCCTACAGTCTTGCTTGCAGCAAGCGTTACAGTGCAGCCAGATATCTGGTAGAAACACATGAAGCAGTCTCCCCCTTCAGTAGCAGGTGTCAGCCAAACATCTCAAAGCACTCAAGAATATTCTATTTCACTACACAGAATTAAAGAAAGGGCTAAGTCCGCAATGCACCCAAAACATTACATTTCTCAACCGTTACTCATCTGCACTTTACGCACAAAACTATGATCCATAAAGTCATTAACATGCAAGATTACAAAGCTTCTAAAAATATAAAGTTAATATGGAGAAGATTAGCCGACTTGAGTCATTACATTTTCAATAAAACTGTGCACCTGGGATTCACCTACTGCCCAGACATCTTTGAAATGGAAGTTAATACTGGCCTCAATTTTTGTTTGGATGTTGTTTATTTCCTCGTTTCTGAGAAAAGAAACACTCCATGCTCAAAATTATGTAAAATTCATAGCACAGCACCCAAACTAGTCTGAGTTTCAAACACCTGCTAAATAGCCCTCTATCTGATGAACTCATCATCTAGCAGTTTGCCTATACAGGAGCCCCCTAAGACCGAGACAAAATAAATTATTTTGCGTTTCACATCAGCTCCTATGAGGCAGAGCAAGAGCATCTTAGACAAGAGTTTGAGCCAACACCTTCGATACGGTGTCTGCATGGGAGAACATGCAGGCTTTAGCTGATCCACTTCGTCTTGTTTCACCTCTGGCCTGCACTGCAAGACTAATGTGCACGTGAACTCCACGTTAAAGACTTTTTAAGTCAGAAGAACAATTTTTGTACAGGAATTCATGCAATTTGACTTCCAGCCAAGCTGTTCATCACCAGCTTGGGCCATCCCCTCCATTTGCCAGCAAGGGGAAAAAACGCTCCTGGTTGCTTCTCAACTTTCTGATATTTAAAAGATTCAGAAGTCAAATATGACCAACTACTTAGAAAACACTGGTGAAAAATATTCTGAAGGCAAAATAGAACCTGCACTGAAGGCAAATATAAAGCAACGCAAAACCAAGTTTGTTATATAGGTTGCATTTAAATCAAGATACTCATTGATGGTGGCTTAAGGGAGAGTCTATAGACACCTGCACAGCAAAGGGATTTAGGGCAACAGGAACTCAGACTGTTCAGCAAATAGTTTATTTATCCAAACAAAATATTTGGATAAAGGTAGAAGGATTAATGTATCAGGACGTGCGGCTGCTCGTGACAAAACAAGCCCAAGCCATTTCTGCATCAGGAGCTGCTGGAGCCTGAGCTCTGGACGCTTGCCAGTCGTGGTAGCTTCCAAGAAGATCATACCAGAACAGATGGTTGTCCTGTAGGCCAAGGGCTTAAGGATGCTGGCAGATGTTGCACTTGTAGTAAAAATAACTGGATTGCTACTGCTACTGCCTAATGTACAAAATCCACAGCTCGAACCAAAGGGCATCACGATCACTACAAGAGGGTACAGCTTGGTACCTGTGCTCAGACTACATATGTATGTTAATGGAATGGTTTCATCCCAGGAAGAAATTTCCACTACGTGCAACTAGGTATTAAAAACTCTCAGAAGCTTAAACCAGTAAATACGGCTACAGCATTTCAGAAGACAAACCCCTCTATGAACTAGATGTCCTTAACCAAATAATGTTCAGCTGAAGAGCAGGAGGAGCTATATGGTAACACCACACAAATCAGAAGACAGGCAGTATTTTCCACCGCCTTTTCCAAGATGCAGCACAATCCTCACTCCTAAAGAGAAACCATGAGACTGAATTTCACAGCACTTTCTGATCAGCTCTTTGGCATCCATCACACAATTCTCTAACTTTCCAGCTTTAATATCATGACAGGAGGCACAAATAGCTGAGACAGCAAGGTTGCAGTTGCAGAAGACCATCTCATACAGCTAGAAGGACTTGGGAGCAGAGTTTTGACTTGGTCCAATGATGCAGATAAAAGAAAACGCTGCCTTAAGTACATTGAATGCAGCTGCTCTGTCACTAGTCCACAAATTATTTGAAGGACAGTTAAGTACACATGTAAGAGAAGCATATTGGCTGCCGAGGAGGCTGAATAATTCTTACTTTCAGATAATACAGCCTAAGACTAGGAGACCAAAAAAGACCCCTTCTCTTGTACTCATTAATCTTCTCAAAAACAGAGTAGGTATGCAAATGCCTTCACAGCCACTGGATGGCAATTCCAGTCCTTCAAACATGAAGGACTGGAGATTTTTAAGCATGAATCACAACAGGGAAAATAAAACTGGAATGTGTTGAAGAGTAACTGCTTTAACACTCAGATGTTTCGGGGAAACAAAAAGAACACTACCGGGGAAAAAAAAAAAGGTTAAAAAAAGGTAAGATTAACGTAGCAATAAAGGTAATGCCATTCAACTCTGCCACACAGCTATTGCAAGGTTTCAGGTTACTGGGAGGTGTCACTGCAGGCACTGTTTTTAGAGAAATAAGCATTCATCCTTTGGACTAATAGAGCTGTGTTTTTCCTGTATTACTACTTCCTTACGCCCTCCAATGCTGTACCTTTGTGGGATTATCTTTGAAAGCAAATTAGAAGCGTTATTGATTCAATAAAACACCTCCTCTCTGTACATAGTGCATTTTCTATTGTCAGATCTGCCTAAAAAGCGAGCTGCTGAACAAGCACCAGTCCTCCTTCCTGATGTGGATCCATATCAAGGACATCCTAAGCTCCACTGCAGGCATTTATTTCAGAGTATCTTCTGACATTTGCCAACAGGCTTGAAACTGAATCCCTCCTGCAAAGCCCTAATTATTTTTCATCTGCATCATATAAGGAGAACGCTAGAGATGTAAGACCTGTGGCACTTGAACGTGATCAGAATTAATACACCGAGTCCATCTTGATCTTCTGGAATCTGAATGACTCCTGTCATTTTGCCAGACAGCATCTCTTGGGCAAACAGGCATGTTTGCTGCTAATACCAAATTAGCGTTACAACTTTAACTTCAGATTCTAGGGTTTGGATCTGTGATTAAAGAGCATGCATATGAGAAAAGAGCACAACAGCCAAAGACATGAGATTTAAAAACCCCAAGAGACTAATGAAAGTCTTAGTTTACAGACAGGAAAAGCTAAGGCATAAAATCAAACTACTAGCCTATGATTTTATAAATCTAGCAGAGCTAGGAGTTAGGGAGTTTTCCCCTCCGCTACACTGCTACTTCAGACCACCGCTGCCCACAGTGCCTTTGTGCCCTGAAGCAGTCTTCAAAGACGACTTCTTACCTGGACCACTCGCAGCTCCAGGTAAAAGAAACCTGGAAGTCACTGCGTGGACCTGGGGAGGGCTACGCCATATTTTCTGCTATTACAGAAAATAACCTGTAACGGGTACTGGGGCTTATGACACCGGATGAGAAGAGAGCTGTGAACTATACCGCTTGCACAAGTTCTGAGGTTCGCTGCTGTTGGAACTAGAGTTTTTTAATGAAACTCCTGCAATGCTTTGGTGACCCAATTTGATTCATTTTTACCACCCTACAATGTAAAAGGAGAAAATTATTCTGAAGATACTGTGGCTATAAATACTCGGCCACCCAAATCAGCCAGAGGAAAGGGCGACTTTCACTGAATTGGATCTCGTTTCACCTGTTGCATCTGCCATCTATCAGCATAGTACCAGACCAAGTTGTGCTATTTTCCCCCAAGAGAAGTTTCGACACTGAAACCCCCCCTCTCAACTCCAAAACCACAGTGCAGCAGGCTGCACAGTGCCACGCTCCTAACCAAACACCCACCTAGAGAAAGGTGAAGGCCTGGAGAACCGATGGAGGCCTGAACAGAAAGGCTCAACCCAGTGAGCAGGAAGAGGTGGCAAACTCACAGTCAGTGCTGTTCACTGGGACCTGGCAGCCAGCTTGGAAAGAGGAACGAGGCTTTCACCGGTACAGGACAGCTACAGACCATGTAGGTACCAAAAATGTTCAGTGGGTGGAGGGATGGGTTCTCTCCCCATTTTTAGCGTTCTCAAGAATATATCTTGGTTTCAGTAAGTTATTCTAGCTGAGGGCAAGAGAAGCATTAAGCCCAAAGTGATAAAGTTGCTTTTTGTCTAAATTTTTAACATTAAGTCATTTAAGAACACTTGAAGCTTCTACTTACCAGTTTGATCGCTACATATTCATTGGTGTAGAGATTTTTACCTGCGAAGGAAAAAAAAATCTTTTAGTTCCACATTCAACACTTGCAGCTAGAGAGACAATGCAGAAGAGCATCACTGAAGGCAGAGAGCTGCCTTTTCTCAATTCCCTGCTGAAGTTCATGCCTTTAACAAAGTGCTAGCCTCAAAATAATAAGTTGCAGCAGTTGACCAGGGCAGGCAAACACTATCTTCCATTCAGCATAAGATAACTATGTTTTATGGCACCACTTATGTTCGATGCAAGCGTTTGAGGAGGTATCCCAGACACGTTAGGTTTTATTCTCCACATCATGCCAAAAAAAGTGAGAAACAAAATAATGAAGAGTCAGAGCACCTTTTTTTTCAGATATATCTGGAATCTGCTGGACACTGAATAATTCTATCCTATGATTTACAGGTATATCACTAACTTATTCGTGCTACATATCAAAGTGACTACTGCCAGGAGGCACACGAAAATAACCTTTGTACCAACACACAGCTTTTACATCTTCCTCTACAAACAGGCAGGCAGTGTGTACAAAATGCCTTCTGTATGCCCGCGGCACAAAGGCAATCCTCGTAATCTAGTAAGACTAACAACTTCCAGTTGCAAAAGAGTACCATTGATGTTAAAAAATACACTAAAAGAACAAAACCCGTTGTCAGGAGCCCAAAACACAGACAGGTGTCCAGTCTGATACTAGGTCTGGCAAGCACGAAGGGCAACAGGCTAGGACAAGTACAACCAGGCAACCACGAAGCCAGCTGCCGGTGTATCGCAGCCGCATGACTCCGAGCCAGAGCTAGTACCTGTTCGTGCTACAGCTGGAGCTGTAGCTTTTTCCTCCAGGAACCTGTCTGGTGTTTGAGCCAAGCCCTTAGCAGCCATAGCGATCTGCAGCAGAGACACACAGCTACTTGTGTCAAGGAGCGTCTCTCTGTGTGTTCTGAAGCTGCCAGGCACCATATCATTCAACGTCCTCCAGTTCCTCTGCTAGGAAATTTGAGCAATCACTCCCCCTTCACCATGTTGCTCCTCACTGACAGCAAACTCTCCCGGAAGAGACATCACCGGGGAAGGATGCTCAAGCAGTTCTCATACCTGATCTGTCCCACCATCCCAACATCTCTGCTACCTTTCCGACCTCCTCCAGTTCCACCACATCCTTCGAGGGGGGCGGCCTTCACTGCAAAAAGCTCCCCACGATTTTATACAGGGAAGCATTGACCTTCTTTGCCCATCATTGCTAGCACTGCCACAGCACAAGTCAGTTTTCATTGAGCGACCATAGCTCCAAAATTCAGTACCAATCTACACTGGAAGCTGTCAGTGCTTATTTGTAGCATCAGCTTTGCCCAGCTCTATTACACATTTATTTTCCAATTCCTGGAATAGATATTGATGCTTAGAACAGACCAGCTACTGAGAAAGTCCAGGACAGGGAGTGACATACTTCAGAGCAGGGAGAAGTTTGGGCAGCTCTAGCATCTCTACATGACATCATTAATAAACATACCACATCCTCCCTTGCATATAGATGCTCTTTGCATGCAGCAACAGCATTGGAAGACTCAATAAAATTAAAGACTTTCTGAACACGAGAGAAGATGAACAGTCATCTTTAAATGCTGAAATACTTATCAGGGAAAACTCTCCATTTATTTATTTTCCTTTATGACAGCTTCATACTTTCTGCATTCAACTTCTTTTGATACCTTCACCACTACATTGCTCAGTGTAGTTCTGCCCTCCGAACTTCAGATCAGGAACTCCCAGTCCAGGTCCCACACTGAGCAGATTGCTTTAACATCCGCCAGGAAGTCTAAACTTTTCTAGAAATCTTCAACCTGTTACAGTAACTAACCGGCAATGATGTTTAACACAGGGCAGGCATTTAAATGTGAGGTTAAATATTCTTAGAGGAAGTGTTTTATGTAAGCAGATGAGTAAGCTGAGCTCCACTGTTAACCCTTGCAACACAGGGTTCATCTGAATCTAATTCTTTAGATCTTTTAATAAAAGCTATTATCTCCAGGCTGGAAACGAGGGGTAGAAAGGAGGTTTTGCAGCTGCATCAGGAACACTCAGACATTGGAAAGTGGCTTCAAAGCACTGCAAGAGCTGAAAGGCCAAATCGGCGGAAAAGCAGGTGGCAGGATAAACTGCTTCACCCTTCTGAGACAGATAAGAGCTCCAGCCTGATGCCATCTGATGACTGGTGGGGGGAGAACACGCAAGGACATTAAGAGAAGGCAGCCTAAATACACTTAAATTATCTGCTCCGTATTAGCTACCAGCAAATGAGTCATATCAGCAGCTCCAGCTGTAGCTCACCCACTGACACTTCCTCCTCCCTCTCGATAGGGATCAAACTCCTATCAAGATGCTCAGTTTGAGGACACTGAGCTAAGGGAAGCTCCAGCCCAAATAAGTGAGAAAGTCAGATGCTTTAAACAGCAAAAAATCCCAAAGAGGAAGCCATGGGAACGCCATCCCCTACAGAACCCACGACCTCCATCACAATCCTGGAGATGCACCATTCCAAGGCAGTTTTGGCACTCGATGTGCAGGGGTGTAACTTCATCCAGGAAGCGATGACCCACAGATCTTCTGGCAACACTTCTGCTCTCCCACCGATGTAGGATAATGATACTGGGGAAACAGGGCTCTTCCAAGCTCATTTCAAGGCACAGAAGGACATTGCTAGCATCCTGCATGTTTGTGGGGCCATAATCCAGCCTACTATGGTCTGGTTCATAAGGCTGAGAACTAGATAGAGGACAGTTTTGGTAACGAAATTCCTCACATAAAAAGCTGGGGTTGGCAAAACACTAGTCTGAGATGTCAGGTCAGCAGCCAAAGGTAAATGCACCAATTCATTCCCCAGCTCACCCTCCTCAGCGCACACACTATGGGGAGACTTTGAACATAAGGAGGTGCAAACAGGTCCAGATTCTGAACTTTAAACCCTTCCCAAACACTGGTATTAAAATGGAAGAGTAAAGGCAGTACTGCTCACAAGAGTAAGTGAATTTGCACAGTAAAATAAGCCATGAATAGAAGCTGCATCTTATCTCAGTAAAACCAAAGATCTGCAATACAGCTGAGATGATATAACTGTGCTAACAAAAGTCCCTCCCAGTTCAGGCAAAGCTTTTGACGGGGCAGAGACTAAGTTCATGCCTCAGATTTGTGTAGTTCCACTGACAATTACGAACTACATATTCTAAATGAGAAGTGATGCATTAAGTCACCGGCATTCACGTGGGAAACCTAGCAGAGCGGATTTCTCAAGCCCTGGCTATAAGATGTGTCAAATACACGGACAGATCGCAGGTCGGGTGAAGAGTCCAAAGCGATCGATCTCTCACGTGCACCATTCCCACAGGTTAAGAGCCACAATTACATGAACAACACAAATAAAAAATGCTTTGACCATTCCTTCTAGCTCATTGCTATACGGACAATACATTCTGATAATACAACAGGGCTGGGTAATGAAGCAAACATCCAATCAGTCATCCCAAAGACCAAGCAGAGCTCACCCCAGACAGCACAGTATCTGCAGAGACCAGATCCCATGGGCACCCGAGACGTGAGTTCACATCGATTTTGTAGTGCCAGATTTGCTGTCCCTTCCACGAGCACGTGTCTCCAAATAACGGCTCCTAGTGTGGATCCCGCACAGGATCTGCTCTTACCCACGCCCTCCACACCTAGCATTACTCTAGTCCGACACTCACATGCTGATTTTGTTGTTTGGGAAGCAGAGACAAAATCTGCCCCAATATCAGACACTACTACCATCTTTATTTACTTTTTCATTTGTTTTAAAGCACAGCTCCTGGCTTTGAACTGCAGCCTGGCAGTCAGCTGGGTGGTTCTTGCTTTTGGGAGGCACCGTCCCAGATCTGATCGACCTGCTCTGACTCGGCAACATACAAATAAGCAGCCTTTCTTCTAGTTTGGGTCCTGCTGCTTGCTGCTGAGATGCCCTGATTCTTTGTGAGACCTGTGCGTCAATCATGCTGATGTTTGACTTCTGGACACTATGCAATTTCTCTGCACAGCACATGAAAACACAGACTCTTTTCAGTGGTGCCCAGTGACAGGACAAGGGGCAATGGGCACAAACTGAGGCACAGGAAGTTCTGTCTGAACATGAGGAAGAACTTCTTCCCTCTGAGGGTGACGGAGCACTGGAACAGGCTGCCCAGGGAGGTTGTGGAGGCTCCTTCTCTGGAGATATTAAAGCCCCGCCTGGACAAGGTCCTTTGCAGCCTGCTGTAGGTGACCCTGCTTCGGCAGGAGGGTTGGACTAGATGACCCACAGAGGTCCCTTCCAACCCCTACCATTCTGTGATTCTGTGACTTCGCCAAAAATCCCTTTGGTGTAGCAGCCTACTAAGGGAGGAGGCAAGCAACAAACAGGATCTAGGTCTCTCGACTTTTTTTTTTTCTCCAAACAGGGAGAAAAGCCGAATTAAAAGCTGTAATTTTAAAATAATAATTGAATGCACTATTTTGAAAATGCACGATAAAGTTTGCACTAGAGCAAAAAGATTCAGGCTCCAGTCTACAGATCTGCATTAAAATAAGCCCCTGGTCCAGCCAGAACTTAATGTTTATTTTAGAAAACCCTCCAACCTAACGAAATTGGAATAATTTTACATTAGTACCCATTCAGAATCACAGAATGGTTCGGGTTGGAAGGGACCTTTAAAGGCCATCTAGTCCAACCCCCCTGCAATGCGCAGGGACATCTACCACTACACCAGGTTGCTCAGAGCCCTGTCCAACCTGGCGTTAAATGTTTCCAGGATTTAATGCTTTACTAAATAAGGGTGCCAAAAAAATGGAAAACTGAGACATTTCAAGAGGCTTATTTATCCCTGACTTGTCTCATGATTCAGGATTTCAGGTAAATACAAGAAATATCCACTGGGTAAGTGCACAAGATGAGGCTGTTCGTAGGCTCAGCTGGTGATACCTTTCCTATGGTGAGGTTTACAGCCATAGCTTATCAAAGCGCTGGACTGAACGGGTTGAATCCCATTTTTCCTGAGCAGTGAGCACCTACTGACATCACACAGTTTTACAGCCCGGCAAGCCCGTTCTCAGGCTGGTTTGCATAATGCTGGTTCTCGTATCAGCTTGGGGTGGACATGCAGGACCTTGTAAGGGCAGAAGTCACGCTGTAAGACTTCGGGTGTGCTCCAGCTCCCAAGCCAGCGTGAGAAGTAACTTGGCAGACAACTGGGAGCTACACGACAGGGCTTGGCGTTGCACAGAAGGCAATGAAACCCCATAAGCGCACAGAGTCCGGCCCAGGGATGGCAGGCAAGACCCCCCTGCTCTTTGCTGGCACCCTACCCCTGGTAGTAGGCTGAGCTGTTTTGGAAACCAAAGCTCTCACAGACCACCAGATCTACAGCCTGTCCAAGGAAAGAGCATCCCATCAATCCTGCTTCATCTTATTACTCTGGGCCAGATGCCGAGTTTTGTGTTCATCTTCCCGTTTCAGCTCATCTGCAGGCTGGACTCCAACTGTGCTGCTCCCATGTGCTTAAAAAAAATAATATTCCTGGGGCTATCTGTAGCAAGAAAGATCAACCCTAAGCAGCGAGCTTGATATTCAGAGAAAACAGCTTCTGTACGTACACGCCATCTCCTCCCCAAACAATCAGTCCTCTGTCTGGTGCTGGAGTGCAGTAGAAGAGCAGCTTAGAGTGACAACACAGCACCTGAACAAAGAAAAGTTCTTCGGGGAACTGGAAAAATGTATTTTCCCATTGGTTATCAGTGCGTGACTTTGCTCTTCCTGTGTTACTAAAAGCATTCATTGGTGCTTAGCTTCTCCAAAACCACATAATAAAAAGCCAAAAAGCAGAGAGCGTGCCACTCATCCTTGCAGGACAAAACTGTTATCAAAGACTTGTTTGCTTGTATTTCAGATGTGTTGCTTCTCCTTCCCCCCAGCGATAATTAGCATCACATCTGTGCAATAAAAATATCTGATATTTGAGCAAACAGGAGTTCTTAAAGCTACAGTGACTGACAAAACCCAAAAATAATACACCTGCTCTAAGGACCTTACACCTAACTGCTGTTATCAGTACTTACAGCCCGCTGCCCAAATACAGCGTGCTACTTAGTTAACCAATATTAGAAAAACATTTACCAGCGTACCAAACAAAAAACCCAGAGCCACTTAATTAACAGGTGATGCTTTTTCCATAGTTAAAACAAAATACCTCTGTCAACTGACTTTTTCAGAAGTGAAGTCTCTGCATAGCTATCTGTGCTTTGAAACAATAGTCAAAAAACCAATTCTGCTAAAATTTTGAGAAATGTGAAAAAACTGCCATGGAAACAGGATCTGCATTTGGGCACCAGCCAAATAAACACAAGAGCCATTTACCTGGAGGGATCTGCTGCAGCTGTTCCACCTCAAAAGCAGAGCTTGGATTACAAAGCAATTCAACATCTCCACTGGGATCCTGCTATCATGACGCTTGCTATTGGGGGGGGGAGGGGCCTTTGAAAAGGCAACGCAGCTACTCACGTTATGTTACTGTAAAGATACAAACCTAGCTTCTCATGTCCCCGTGTTCATCAAGGTGGGAGGTTTTTGTCCCTGCCCTTGGTTCCTCTCCACCTTTGGAGCATTATCTCTGCTCCTGCAAATCAATAAAACTCCTCTGATGTAACACTGAAACCAAAAAGACCCATTTACTGAGAGAGATCATAAGCTGGTTAATCTTCTCACTGTGGACATGTCAGATAGATGCAATAACCAAACCTTAGAATGAAAGATTCCACAAATCAATCTAAGATTACATAGATTCTGAGCAGGCACCTACACAGATACTATCAGTAGTTATGTCATAACCCTTTGGTTACCTGAAGAAATTTCCTGATCGAATTATTTATCCCTTGTGCCTGATGCACGGATGATTTTGATTTTAATTTCAACTCTAAACACATACCAAGTTTTGGGCAAATAATATTTATGTCAGCCAACCTGTCTTCAGCACTCTCAAGTTCACTACCACAGCAATCCAATCCATTGAACAGAAGAGGAGAAATACTGGGAGCTCAGGGAGATGTAGTTAAAAACACTGGCTGTTTCCCCCAGCTCATTTGAAAAACAACCCTTGTTTGTTTAGGATGACTTAAGAGCCCATTGGGTTCTTAAGTCGTCCTAAACAAACAATGCATTAGCATAGCCATCTGTTTGGGTGACCAGCTGCAAGACACATGGTTAGAAGACCAACAGACCACGAAAAATCACCGGCAGCTGGGCCGGTTCAACGACCAAGAGGCAGCAGCCAGATGGCCAGTCAGCACTCCCCGCTCTTCGTCAGCTAACGAGTCAAACTCAAAGGACAGATCAGGGAATGGGTGATGAGGCTGAAAGTAGGGCACCAAGGTTAGTGAGGGATGTGAAATAGAGAAGATGAGGCCAATTGCTGGGAAAGAGTCTCACTCATTACTTTTACAGGGAGCCCTAGCTTATGAACAAGAAATTGAGAGCACGATTTAGCAATCCAGGCAGTTAAGAAGACTTAATTCACCTTAGGCAAGACATTCGGTACTGAGAACATTCTTCATTTTTGGGACTGTTCAAAATTTGCATCTTTGGCTTCTCCAGTGTATTCACTTTGGCTCTATGCAAATAAAAATAATGCTAACAGTTACGTCTTCTGAGTCAGAAGCTTCGGTAAGACAGCTCAACACTTGGGAAACAAGATAAGCACATGCATTTCTCCAGCCAGGGTAAGTTTTTATGTATTTATATTCCAGTGGTGAAAGGCTAATCTGGATAACGCAGGCCACTAAAATGGTTACTTCTTACCTAGTCTGAGTTCTCCAAAGTTCCCACACCCAATCTTCTTGCCCACTCTGAAGTTGGGTCCCACCATAAGAACGCCAGAAGAGGTCGATGAGCTTGGTCGAGAACCATGCCCGCTCCTTCCCGGCATCCCTTTCGTTGTCCGCTGCCTTTCATCCTTTTCCCTATTAGGATGGTCCATGATCTTAGTGAGATATCTCTGCCAGCAAGCTGGCAGACAGGAATTGGCGTACGCACTCTTCTCCTTAGAACAGAAATATATATCCAAAAGTATCTGAGTCAGGGTCAAAGAGAGTCATGGAAACACATGGAGTTCTTTTGGCACTGTATCCATTTTCCTAATGCATCTTGATAATGTACCAAGCGGTCGTTTATGTTCTTGACAACTCGGTGATGGCAGGTTGCTTTTGGTTTCTTACCTGGGGAAAAGAAAAAGGATATATGGAATCAAAATCATTACTTTAAAATAACCAAGCAAGAATGTACAACAGGACCAACGTAAAGAACTTTCCCGGTCTTGAGGAAATTAACAGCTATACGGAAACTTTACCATTTTCTCAATAATTTTGTGATAAAAAGCCCCGTCATCAAAGAGATACTAGTGCTGCCCATCCACTGCTTGCTACTGGAGTTATCAGGACTCACACCGCACACACTAACAAAAGCATTTTCAATTACACCAGCACGTCAGGTGGAAACTGCAAGTAGATCATGTCCCATCTCTACAGCAGCTGTGAAGTGTGACTTTGTTTTCTTTTCACTTCATACATTTATACAGCATTACACAAAAGCCAGACAAAAAATAAAGAGTGGCAAATGAAAGGTGTCAATAGAAGAAAATATCGAAGCACTTAGGAAGTAAAATTCTCCTTCATTTTACATCTTTTAAAGTTGACCTCAGATATTTTCACTAATTAAAATAAAACACAAGAATTATTACCCATCCACAAACCAGTCGCACAGAAGAAAAGCATCAGCCTTTTTGAAATATGAGTATATTTTCCCTAGCCTTCAACTGTGGTATACTTCTATTTCTGGAAACTTTGGTTTTGATCCAAGGCAGCTGTATACAAGGCAGAAGTCATTCACACTAGACCCAGAAAATGCAGGTAGCTACCAGTTGGAAATCCCAGTTTCTGAATACTGAACTAGCCTTTCGCGCAACTCTGACCTTTTGTGTCCATTTCCATTTGCAGTTCTGTGTGTTTGCACAAAAGAGGGCACAGTTCTCCCCAGACTGAGCTTCCTCCCTAGATTTTTTTTTTGTTAAATACTTCTGCAAAAAAAGCAAAGACTAAATACAGAGAATGCACAACTTTAACATCACTTTGCAATTACTTTCCACTGCTTTTGTTCATGTATTATCGCAGGCTTCTATATCAGACAGGGAGCTTGCAGAACTCTAAACAGACTCCATCTTCATAGGAAGGATCCTGGGACCCTCCACTGGGTATTAGGAAGACCTTGAGGAACTAATAACTGTGTAAAGAAACATCCACACATGTGGATGGATGTTTTCATGCAACATAACAACCCCACAAAACCACCCATCTTTAACAGTTTATACTAATGCTGAGAACGTAGCTCAGGTTGCACAGGTTACAACTCACAGGACATTTCACCTAGCCCGTGACTCAGCAGCCCTCTTTTCCAGCGTGAAAAGCAGATGAATTCTTGTAATCGCCCTGCACAAAGGTGGATCTCTGCAGAAAACGTTATACAGCGCGTTTGCAGCAAACCCAGGTGGTCTGAAAATCATCAGATCACTGGAGAACCACTGTATCTCATCCTTACTAATGATTTGGCCGCACCGACCCAGAAGCTGCAGTGGCAAGCTCCCAGGGTGGTACTGCGTAATATGGGAAATGCCATTCGTGATTAAGCAGCACCGGCCTAGCTAGAGACAAGAGTTGGAGATGCTCACATAGAAGAAACACCGTATTTTATATTACCAAGCTTTACTTGTACATCAAATTAATTCAAGATTTAATACTTAAAACTGAGTATGGATTAGCAGGAAGCATCCGTTACAGGCAAACAGGATGAACTGGTTTTTCATCACAGACATCCCCAACATACCTTCAGTGGTGGTTTCTCAAAGCTGTTTGCATAGATGAAAGTACAGTTGTATTTGCTTTGTGAAACCAGCTTGCAGCAGCAATGACGAAGTTCTATCAGATATCAGAAAAGCACTTTGATTGGACCCCACCCCAACCCGTCCTGGGAGAAGAGACTTTCTTCAAAACAAGCAACAGAAAAAAAGGACGGTCACTGAAACTATGGAAGTTCATTGCTGAACAGAAATCAAATGTGAGGATGATGATGGAGTGCTTCTATGGCTGGATCACTAAGAAAGATGAGCACAACAGATGAATTCTGTGAATTTAAAAAGCAGCACTTTGAAAAACACACTTCTTCCCACCAAAGCCAGAGAGGAGGACGTATTTCCCCCTGGAGACCAAAGCCATTATTTTAATCAAGGCTGGATAATCCATGGGCAACAACTACAAACCTCACAAAAGGGTAACAGAAAGAAGTCTCTAGCAAGGGCACAAACCCTGCCCAGTTTACACTTGGAAAAACCAATGTACAGCATTGTGCGAGACATGAAGGGTGGCACAGCTCTGTAGACTGAGGAGATACTACTACGAAGGACTATGCAGAAGAGGGGCTAAAACCCTGAGAGAAAGGGACAAAATCTGCACGATGGGGACTGATTACAGCACAGGAAGGAGGAATGATACAACTTTTCTGAAGCTGCAAACGGATTTTTTTTTCTTGCTCATTCAGCTAACAGTCACATGTCCAGCAGAGCGCATACGAAAAGTCAATATAAGCTAAAACCCCTGAAAGGGTTTCTAAACAACCCTGATGAGCACAAGGTGGACTGGGAAGAGACAGGCTGTTTAAGAGCACGCTACAATGGTTTCCTGCACGATGCCAGGAGCCGTTTAACCTTCCTTCTGCCATGAACTACTACCAGCTTCCAACTTGCAGAGTAGAGGGATCCAGATACTGAGGTTGTTTTGCAGCAGAACCTGATGCCTAGGTGCAGATCGTTTCAAAATTGTTTGGCTACCTGCTGGCACAAGACAGAATCCTTATAGAAAAGCATGATAAATGGAGTTGAAAGCCACCAAAAGATAAAGGCACACAATTTGACGTGTTTCAAATGATTGATATGAGTTGGCCTTGATCTCGTCTTCTTCCTACCGAGAGCAGCCCTGAGGAGGATGACTTGGGGGTGCTGGTTGATGAGAAACTTGACACGACCCCGCAGTGTGTGCTTGCAGCCCAGAAGGCCAACCACATCCTGGGCTGCCTCCCCAGCAGCATGGCCAGCAGGTCGAGGGAGGGGATTCTGCCCCTCTGCTCCACACTGCTGAGACCCCACCTGGAGTCCCGCATCCAGCTCTGGAGCCCCCAGCACAAACAGGACATGGAGCTGTTGGAGCAGGGCCAGAGGAGGCCACAAAAATGATCCGAGGGCTGGAACCCGTCTGCTGTAAGGAAAGGCTGGGAGAGCTGGGGCTGTTCAGCCTGGAGAAGAGAAGGCTGCGGGGAGACCTTATAGCAGCCTT